TTTATAAGTATTTAGAAGTTATTTATAATTCAAGTCTAATATAAATCATATTTATAAATTTCATGAATTTATATATTTTTTAAAAAAGTTATGCAATCCATAGAAGAGCTACCAGAACCTCCCATAATTGAAATCAATTTGCAGCTCTCAGAAATCTTAGCTCATATTAAAGATGATCCTTGAATTATTGAGAAAAGAAAAAATAACAGATTTTTTAGGATTTCTTACAAAGACAGACAATCTAAAACTTTTGGATCAGGAAGCAAAATAAAAATTTTAAAATAACCAATATAATTAAAAACATCACTTAAAATGATTTTGATTAAGTGGATTATTCCTAAGAGGCTTAGGGATAAATAAAATAAGAATTAATTACAAAAATAAAATGCGATAAGAACATAATTGAATTTTAAACATTTCTTGTTCGCCTTACAGCTTTTGATTAAAAATTCATTCGATAAGGATCAAATTCACTACTCTTGTTAGATCTAATGAAGGTTGATCTGGCGAACTAATCTTTTGAAAATATTAGGATATAAAATACTTAATTAATAGGAGGTAACTTTGTAAGATGCAATCTAAATGGATCAGAATTTGATAATGTCGACATAAGTGGTATGAACTTGAATAATGCTTAATTATTCAACTGTAAATGGAAGAATATAAAAATCAATAAGTTGAATAAATTGGAAGGTCATAGTGGAATAGTGTCTTCAGTCTGTATCTCTCATGATGGAACTACTTTGGCATCTGGCAGTTTTGATAACTCTATCCGTTTATGGAATGTTAAGACAGGTCAATAAAAAGCTAAATTAGAAGGTCATAGTGATTAAGTCCTATCAGTATGCTTCTCACCAGATGGAACTACTTTAGCATCAGGTAGTTGGGATGGCACTATCCGTTTATGGAATGCTTAGACAGGATAATAACAAGCTAAAATTGATAGTCATAGTATTTGTATCAACTCAGTATGTTTTTCTCCTAATGGAACTTCTTTAGCATCAGGTAGTTACGATAACTCTATCCTTTTATGGGATGTATAGAAAAGATAATAAATAGGAAAATTGGATGGTCATAGTGGAGAAATCAATCAAGTTTGGTTCTCTCCTGATGGTATTATTTTAGCATCTGGTAGCGGAGATAAGTCTATTCGTTTATGGGATGTTAAAACAGGATCATAAAATTACAAATTGGATAGTCATACTAGTTGCGTTTACACACAGTAGGTTTCTCTCCTGATTGTACTGTATTAGCATCTGGTAGTGGAAATGCTTTTATTGGGGGAGATTGTTCTATCCGTTTAAGGGATGTTAAAACAGGAATATAAAAAGCCAAATTTGATGGTCATACAAGCTGGGTCCAATCATTATGTTTCTCTCCTGATGGTAACATATTAGCATCCGGTAGTGGAGATAAGTCCATTCGTTTGTGGGATGTTAGGATAAGCTAATAAAAAGCCAAATTGTATGGCCATAATCAATATATAAACTCAGTATGTTTCTCTCTTGATGGTATTAAATTAGCATCTGGTAGTGAAGATAAGTCTATCCGTTTATGGGATATTAAGACAGGATCATAAAAATCTAAATTAGATGGTCATACTAGTAGCGTCTACTAGGTATGTTTTTCTCTTGACGGTACTACATTAGCATCTGGGAGTGGCAGTCAAAATTTAAAAAAAAATTTTGATAAAACTATCTGTTTATGGAATGTTTAGACAGGATAAGAAATAGCCTAACTGGTAGGTCATACTCATACTGTTTCTTCAGTGTGCTTTTCTCCTGATGGTACTTAAGTTGCATCTGGTAGTTGGGATCAGTCTATCAGATTATGGGATATAAAAATACGATAGGAAATTGAACCCATAAATAAAAATTGCGAATAAACTTAAGCACAATTTAAGACCCCTTAATATTAAAACAATCGATTTTCAAAAGATGGTATTCATTTCAATTATATTTAGCCATCTCTAATATAACAATTGTACTTATTTCCGAAACACCGATATTTTAAGCATCAGGAGCTTTAATCTTAAAAGGAGAATTTATCAATCATTAAGGTGTAGATTTACGATCAATATTAAGATCAGAAGGATGTTTTTTTTTTGATAGTTAATTAGATCAACATTAAAAGAAGAATTGATTTTTCAAGAGCATATTACATTTTAACAAATTCTTTTATTTATTTTGTACTTTTTTCATGATAAATTTAAAAATTACTTTTCTTAATTTACTACATGATACTTTTCGAGTCTTTATAAGTTTTTTTTTTTATCAAAGATTCACTAAAAGCAATTTATAAATATTAGTTTTTACAAATTAGTAATTTCCTTTATATGTTCTACATCCACGTTTTCTATTGATACAGGTTACAATAATTCATCCTCTTCTTTTGCTGATTAAGACAAAATTAATTCTATGGAATCCTACAGTCTATATGTTTTCTAGCGATATATATTTTAAATAAGATCTCTCTAAACAAAATCTCTGTAGAGATTTCTCCACCTGCAATTTTTAGTTCTTTTTATTTTGCAAAAGTATACTTGGCTAATTTTGCTCTCAACAGCTGATACAATAATAATAATATTAGCAATTTTCAGTAAATCAGAGCAGTGAAGATCTGATTTCAAGTAACCTCATTAACATTATTCACTGGTATCAAATGAGACTTATTTTAATTGGACTTTTAACTGAAATTATGCTTAAGTGTTACTCCTAAATTTTGTTTAATTTTAAAATTTCATAATCACAGGTCTTTCAATATCGTCTAAAGTAAAAAATATATATAAATATGTCATCTTTGACTTATAACAAGCAATATTTGTCTAGATGATGCTTATAAAAATTCACGAATAGGCCAGACTCTTTGCTAATTTTCTAAAGCCTCTTTTCTAATTTTCTAAAGAGGATACTAAAAATAATTTTAATGCATTATTAGAGTAAGAAATTGGAGTTTTTCAAATATAAGGATTTGATACTCAAATTTTCAACAAAAATCAAGGAAAACATTACCAATTAGGATTTTTAGCACTTCAAATAAATTTTGAATTATAGACTTTCTTAAGTATTGATTATGCATTTCTATCAGAATGATATGTTTATGTCTCTTATTCCAAATTATTTGTCGAATTTCTCATGTATTTGATAAGATGATATTTTTTTGAATAGGAATCTTGCTTAATTAATACAACCATTAGATTATCACTCACTTAGCAAATACTTACTTTAATGTAATTTCATTTTTCTATAGTGAATATTAAAATTTATTGTATTTCAGAAATACTATAAGCTATAATGATATAAATCTTTAACAGAATATTTTAAGGATATTATCAATATTATTGATCATTAGATTAAAATTCTAAATCTTAAAAATATAAAATGAAAAATTCATGTAATTAAGATGGTATTGTGGAACTTAGAATTAAATTGATAGGTAAATATAATCGATTCATTTTACAAATAATCATACTTAATTTGAAAAACTACTGATAAAATTTATTGGAGAATATAAGAATGATAAAATGATTAAAATAAGATGACCGGAAAATCAATAACGGAAATAAAATTATGTAATAAATTTAAATTAATTAGAGGAGGTGATGAATATGAATAATTAGGGTTTTAAGAATGAAAGTTAGATTGATTTATGAAAATTCAAACCATATCAATTATGATAATTTGTTCAAATCTTTTTAATTACATTAAAAGGATTGTATTAAAAAGAAACTAAATATGTTAGATGGGATATATTTTTTAATAAATATAAAGGTTTTGAAAAGATGTATAATCGTAATAATATTATGAATAATATTCTCACTTATCCTTTTTGGCCTAAAATTTATATGATTAAATTAGACTTTGAAGACTTTGAAGATTTATGAAAATGGAATAACATAAGGATAATTGGTTGAATAAGATAAAAATTATCGATATAAACGTTAAATATTATTTAAAGGATTAAATAGAAATAATACAAAATAGGGATAGTGGTATATACTATATCAGCATAATTGATATTTAAAGTGAATATAATTCCTACATAAAAAGGTGATAGATTTTAAGATGAAGTAGGATTAAAAAATTTTAAATGAATTGAATTGAATAAAAAAATAACAAAAAAGAAGAGACTGGTTAAACATTCAAATGGAAAAACGATTAAAAAAGAAGTATTATTTAAAAAAAAAGTCTGGATTATAATAATCATATATTTTGATTATTTATTTTTACTAAAAAATTTATTTTCTATGAATACTCAAATTTAAATTAAATTAGACATTTTATAGCATAAATTATTTTTTAAATTCAATATAAATTAAAATAATATTAACCATCAAATTTTTTAACTTAACATATATTGTATATAATACTTAACTAATTAATATAACCTTTCAATAAGTAATTTATAGATTGATAAACTTATATAATATATTAAAATTCAATTTTCATACATATTTATCTTGATTGATTAACCAAAAAACAATAGTAGAGCATTGAATAAATAAAATAATGAGGTTTACTTATGAAAAATATACTTTATAATAGAGAGATAAACAAAATAATATAATAATTGTATACCAAATATTGAAATATAAAAGTAATCAGTCCAATAAAATAATAATAAGCATTTGCATACAAAGCTAATCTTAAACAGTAATGGCAGGAAAGATTTATTCAAATAGATAAGTATTATTAATTGTAAAAATAGCTGCTACAAATATGAATGAAAATAGTATTCTGAATCCAATTAATAGATAATAGATATTGCATTAAATTAAATAACAAGTTAGAAATATTATACTTTCTTGAACCATTCTATATATTTCTATAAAACCTATCTTATTAAATATTCAAACTTAAGTTATAAGAGATTGTCTTATAATAAAGAATTTTTTCATTTTCCTTAAAACAATAAAATCTTTAGTGAGTTTTTAATAAAATATTAGATACAAAGTTTATAATGAATTCTTGACTTGATGATTCACTATTTATTCTTTTTTATGTAAAGAAATGAGTTAATTTTTTCAAATTTTTTATCAAATAAATATTTATTCCACAATGATAAAGATTTTTTCTGTAAAGTTGCTATTGATAATCCAATTAATCAAGTAACTAATGTTAAAAAATTAGACAAGTTGTTAGTGAATGCATATTTTTCTCTTATCAACCCATCTTGGATAAACCAAATTTCGAGATTGAAGAACATTTATCAGAATATATAATTAAATAACAGGAAAATATTGGATATGGCATCTGGATGAAATATTCACCATTTAAAGAATATAATGATTTAGGTATCAATCAGATAAATATCATTTATAGTTGATCGATCTTCATTATAATAAAATTATGCAAATTATTAATAGATTACAAAAGGAGGATAATTTATATATTCTATAGAATAGGGAGAAACAATGTAGAGTTTAATAATTGTTTTTGTCAACATTGATCCTGAAAGAAAGTTTATAGAACATCATATTTATCATAACTTTGGGTAAACATAAAATAATTTATAATTTATTTTTGATAATGAAATATATGAAGGAGTATGGATTATGTTTTTTGTTTATATTGATGCTGATTTAAAAAAAACCACATATGGATTTTATAATCACAAAAAAGGAATATAAACTTAAGTAATATATGAAATACCTTTACTTGAATAAAAAATTAAACATATTTAAGGAGGACTTTATTAATACAGAGATTAACAGTAACAATTAGTTATGTTAAGTAAATTTACTGGAACATTATCTTATGCTTTTACCTCAAAATAGGATGACATTTCTATAGATATTAATGTTTGTGTTGAAAGATTTATGAGGTATTATTATTGTTCAGCATTTTATTATGTTTTAACAAATTACAATTAAGAAATGAAGGGAAATAGTTATATTAATTAGACAATTATTGAATTAGATTCTCCAAAATATGCAATTCATGGATGGATAATTTTAAATTCAATAAATTAATCTTATCTTGAGACTACAATATTTAGAATAACGATTAATAAAGATTATAATGATGATCTTAATTTAGGGGATAGAGTTGCTCTTCTAAAATATTTTTAGAGTAAAATTCCAAGAGAAAATGGTTTTGAAATCTCCACATACTCTTATTAATTTCCAGTTAAAACAAGTTATTAATGCTAAGATGATGATAAAATATTAGAATTTAAAGATCAATACTCAGAACTTTTTATTTAATGGCATTAAATTTAGTACGAATTTGGATCAGACAGAACTAATGGGCAGCCTTTATTTTAAATTTACTTTCCTTCAATAGATTAAAATAGAAAATTTTCATGGAATAAATCAATAAGGCATTTTAAAGAAGTCTAGTTTCAAATATATATAGGCGGAGATGACTATGCTAATTCTTATCTGAAAGGATTCATAAGTGAAATGTTATTTACAATATTTTGTGAATCTGACCCAATAATGATTCCTCCTTGTCATAGTACATGTAATACTTGTAATGGCCCTACAAAATAAAATTGTCTGAGTTGTTCTGAAAATAACTTTAGATATTTATACAAAGTTGAAAACTCTTGTTTATGTTAAGATGGTTATTTTGAAAACGATTCTGGATCCTGTGAATCTATGGCTAAATTATTTCCTTATATCTCAAAATAAGAATTTAAAATTGGATGTCAATTAGAAGGATATGAAATTTGTGATGATGAATAGATAGTATGTTTATTTGGCTATTTTTATTATAATAAACAGTGTATTTAATGGTAAAAAATATCAATATTTTAGTCCTAATTATAATGATATATATTCATCCACACATTTCTCATGCTTTAATTGTGTATCATAACCATCTGAATTTTCTTAAAATTTAACTTGTTTTGAAGAAGCTTAAACCTTTAAAACAACTAAGATTATACTTATGAAATTAAATAGAAAGATTTAGATAAGATTAGCTATTATGAAATATCTATTGGTTTAGATTAAACCTTTGAATTAAAGTTATGTGTTAATTGTATTTAGAAAAACAAGTGCAAACCTGGTTATTTTTTCTCAAATAATTAATGCTAAAACTGTATAGAAGGTTGTTAAGTTTGTTCAGATATTAATAATTGTGATTAATGTTACTCAAATTATTATAAAAATATTGAAAATAAATGCTAATTATGTAAAATTTGTGCAACTTGCACAGGCTTTAGAGATGATATCTATTGCACGACTTGTAAAGAGAACTAAATATTAGTAATTGCAAATTGCCTTTAATGTGGAAGGAATTGCAATAATTGCGATGAAAATTAATACTGTAATTATTGCATAGGATCTCCTTAAGAATACTATATTTCTTTAGATGGAATAAATTGTAATATTTGTTCTATAGATAATTGCATATTTTGTTTTGATTACATTTTAAACAACAACGTTTATACAACTTCATTAGATATTTAATTTTCAACTTTTAATTCAGATTTTCGCTAAGTTGATGTAGGTTGTGCTTTGTGCAAAAAAAACTACTTTTATAATTAGATCTCATAAGAATGTGAATTAAAATCAAGCTAAACTAATTGCGATTTTGCTGTAATCCTTAAATCTAATTTTGGCTAGAAATGTATTATAGGTTTGGAAAGTTTAGAGGCAATTTAAGTTTCTTTATGTTAAGATATTAAGTTTTGTTTAGAATGCATAAATAATTACAGTCATAATAAAAACTTTTGTATTGTTTGTGAAGATGGTTATTATTCAGATATTTTAACTGGATAGTGCAATCTTTGTCCAAATATTTGCAAGACATGTGTTTAATAAAATAAAAAATATAGGGACTATTGGAAATGGAATATAAAAGCATTTTATAAGTTTTTTCTTAATAGTGATAACAATCATCCCTTTGAAGCTTTTGCATCTCTAGCAGCATAAAAAGATATGGAAATTATTTGCACCTCATGTCTTATTAATTATATTTTGAATGATTTTAAATGTATTAAAGACTGCCCTAAAAGTTGTTTAAAATGTTAAATAATAAATGGTACATCTACTTGTATATAATGTCAGGAAACATCCGCTGGGTTTTTAAAAAGTTATAATTAAGATTTAAATTGCTTAATTTGCCCATTCAATTGTGTAGCTTGTTTATAAAGAAAGGAATCTGATGTTGCCAAAATAAATCCTTATTTCTTAATAACCAATTCTAATTAATATCTAACAAGAATTTGTTTTGAAAAATCTAAGAAGAATACTTAATAATATTCTTATTATTATGATTCTTTTACATAAACTATTACAACTTGTAATTAACATTTAAAATGTTATAACGAAATAATTTTTAAATAAAATCTGTTTTGCGATTATTCAGACTACTATTAAAAATAATCTCAATCGAATGATTATTAAGAATTTAATAAGAATAATATCCCTCTAGATATATTTTTTTTAGGCTCATACATTCATATATTTGAATCTCAATCACTTTACGATTATTTAAATCAAATTTCAGTCAAATATGTATATTACTAATTCATTTTATTTTAAGGTAATATAGAAGAATGTCTAATAAAAGATAGACTTGATATTCACTCAAGTTTATTGTAAAATGTGTTTTCTTTATAATAAATTGACATAAGTTTTATAGGAGAAAAATAATATACAAAATTAAAAATTCAATCATAAGTTAATTTGAGTAATTACACATCAGTGACATTTCAAAATATTCAATTTAATTTTGGTCAAAGTATATTTTCCTCTGTCGATCACACTATCATCAATTTAAATAATTTAAAATCAACTTTAGTCTTATAATTGATAAACTGTATATTTGTTACTCAAAATGGTTCAAACAGAAACTACACTCTTTAAATTAATTCGAATATTCCATATTCACTATATATTAACAATTTAGTTTTCGAAAATGTTCATATTTTCTCATCAAATTTATTTTAATTTGTTGCATCACTAAATGTTGATAGGAATCATCTAAATTTGAAAAATATAACTATCAGAAATTCATACTTTTTCAACTCAACATTATTTAACTTTATTGCCAATGTAAAAGATTTAAATTATCATTCAAACTTTTCTTAAATTGAATTAATTAACAGTAAATTTATTTAATCTAATTTCATTTTCTGTAATAGTCTCTTAAATTTTACTACAGGAATTATTTTTATGAATCATTTACAGTTAAAAAATCTATAAATGATAACAAAATCAAATTTTTTTAATCATCATGCGGGAAATTAACTTAATTGGAATTAGTTGAATTAAATAATTGCTTGTTTTTAAAT